CCCCACACCCACATCCACACCCACACCCACACCCACACCCACACCCACACCCACACCCACACCCACACCCACACACCCACACCCACACCCACACCCCACACCCATACTTTGTGAGAGCTTGTAAATCTCGAAGTACGTTCTATTTTGAAGATTCAGTTATATATTGTATTGTAACTCCGTTAAACTATGGGTAATACAAGTTCAAAGAAATCCGCACCATCTAGTGCCGCTGAATCACTAGTTCTTAATACCACGGCTATTTCTGTTGTTGGACAACGAAATCTAGAAAATTTTGTTGTTATTTGGTGTGATAGTACTATCGATAAAACAACTGAGAGTTACCAATATCAAGTTTATTTACGGCAAATTGTTAATTATTTAAAGACGTTTAATAATCCTGAGCATTGCCACGCTTATATTAAAAGTATAAAAGATGAAAAAATATTTCTTGTTATTTCTGGTACATTTGGACAGCAATTAGTGCCGATAATACATCCGTTACCGCAGCTGGAGTCCGTCTATATATTTTGCATTGATCTAGAAAAGCATAAGCTATGGTCTAAGCACTATGAAAAAGTACGTGGTGTATTTGCCCAATTGAAACCAATTTGTCAGCAGTTACAAAATGATATTGCTGTGTGTACAAATGAAATGATATCTATGAATGTCCTCAGCAGAGCAGTATCATCATCAACGACTGCAACAGTAGCATCAACGGCGAATATTAATAAGCAAGAAGTTACATTCATGTATTCTCAATTACTGAAATACCTATTAATTGAAATGAAACACGATGCAGTTCATGCTAATCAAGAAATGATTGAGGAATGTCAACAACAATATTTGCACAATGATAAAGATATACAAATTGTTCATGAATTCAAAGAAAAATATCAACGAGAACATGCCATCTGGTGGTATACGCGTGATTGCTTTTTATATCGTATATTAAACAAAGCACTACGAATGCAAGATGTTGACATTTTATATAAATTTAGATTTTTTATTGCTGATCTTCATCTACAATTAAAAGAAACAACAAATATAAAGTCTATGATAATCGTCTATCGTGGACAAGGTATGAATGTTAATGAATTTGAAAATTTAACAAAAACATGCGGTGGGCTATTATCAATAAACCATTTTTTGTCTACAAGTAAGAACAAAAAAATAGCATTGTCATTCGCCAGTCAATCAATAAATCGTTCGGGAATTGTAGCGGTTTTATTTGAAATGAAAATAAATCCAAAAATTCGTAAAAGCCCATTTAGTGATATTTCAAAATTAAGCTTTTATCCTAAGGAAGATGAAGTTCTATTTTCTATGGGCACTGTTTTTCGAATTCAATCAGTTGAGAAAGATAAAAAAAACGTCGGTATTTGGAATGTATCGTTAGTATTGACTGATGATGAAGATGAAAACTTGAAGCAATTAGAAGAACACCTGAAAAAAGAGATTGAAGCAGGTAATAATGCTGTACTGTCTCTAGCAAAATTAATGTCTGCAATGGGCGATTTTGAACGAAGTGAACATTTTTATCAGCTATTATTAAATGATAAAACAATGACACATCCTTTTGATCTTTGTGTGTTAAATAATGATTTAGGAAATAATTACAGAGATAAAGGTGATCTTGTACGAGCTACTGAATGCTTTCAAACAGCTCTACGATTGGGTCTAACATGTCTACCATCCACTGATCATCGATTAGCAACAATGTATAATAACATTGCCTCTATATTCTATGATAAAGGAGAGTACGATCAAGCTGCGGAGTATTTACAGAAAGCAGTTTCCATTCTTCGTTCAAATGATTTATCAACACCGAAATTGTTGTTAGAATTAGCGCGATGTTATAATAATATTGGTGAAATATATTCTAATCAGAGAAAATTTGCTGAATCATTAGAATTTCTCAATAAATCATTGGAAATTCGTCGAAATAATCTGCCCCCAAATCATCCTGATATTGCTACGGTTTATAATAACATCGGTATGTTATACAGTGCTCAAAGTGATTCTTCAACATCACTAAAATATTTGGAAAAAACACTTGAAATCAAGGTAAATTCATTACCACCTGGCCATCCAGACTTTGCTCTAACATATAATAATATGGCAATGGCGTTCTATCGGTTGGGAAAATATGATGAGGCAATGAATTATATCACTAAAGCAGTTACTATAGCTAATACATCATTCCCACCTGGACATCCATATATTGCCGGCTTTCAAAACAATTTGGAACAAATCCGTACATTACAATCAATTGCTATACGTATGGATGCTCTACAATTAAAGGAAAATTAAATTTCAAGCATTTTTCCAATGCGAACTGACGTTGATGACAATAAACCTCGTTGCTTTTCTTGTTCTGTCGATTGCTTAGTCAAAAATATAAGAAAAAAGTTTCCATTCTAATAAATATTCGAGGATCAGTGCAAGTGTAGGGACGAGCTGCCATGGCACGTGTTTCAAAAGGGTGTGGGTGTGGGTGGGTGTGGGTGTGGGGTGTGGGTGTGTGGGTGTGTGGGTGTGGGTGTGGGTGTGTGGGTGTGGGTGGGGGCGGGTGTGGATGCGAGTTGGAAGCCATTCGTCGAATGAATTTTCGTCGAATGAACTTTTCATCGAATGCCAAGAAAGTTTTCGTCGAACAATTATTCGTCGAATAGCTTTTGGCCGAATGACTTTTCGTCGAATGACGTTTTGTCGAAAAATATTACATATATTTCTCAAATTATTGCTTGATTTAGAAAATAATAGTAAAGCACAGTTGCATTGTAAGTATGAGGTTCTCAGCATATAGTTGTATCGTAAATATACTCACAATGCAACTATTTTCCTCTGAATTACGTTTGATATGAATAACAAAAGTTACGAAAGAGACATCTATATATCACGAAGTTGGGTTGGTTAAAGCTAAAAATGTTCATTTATCCTCGCAGACAAAGAATCGAAAACGAAGTGCATTCGATGTTAGGGAAGTGATGTACATTTGTGTTTATTGATTCCTTATTTTTCGATTCTTTTTCGATCATCTTATTTGATTTTTCTTGAATTATCTTCATTCGATTTAACAGAACATTTGAGTAACATATTTTGGATGACATCTCAACAGCCTGAGTCACTTGTATCTACTGATCCATCAGTGACTATTAGTTCGTGTTCGAATGTATCTATTTTTTTCACCAAGTCTCTGCAATCATCACAAAATGTTGGTGCTATTAATTTTTCAAAAACTCAAAAAGGACGTGATCTTCTAATGATGAATGGTTATAGTTACACTTTAAATAAAGAGACAAAAGTACAACATTACTGGAGATGTGAAACTCGCCTTTGTTCCGCAACACTTATCACAACCAGAAATTTGATTACTGATATACATTCAATAAGTTCAGTAGGAGAAATTCATCATCTTCATGCCCCTTCAATTGCAAAACAAGAAATTGGAGTATTTAGAGCACAGGTTAAACGACGTGTTCGTGAAGAATTAACACCAGTTGCTCTGCTTATCGAACAAGAAATGCGGAAGGTAAATTTATCTTCGGAGGCACAGCAACTGTTAACACATCCACAACATATGAGTAAATTCGTAATTCGTTTCTTTTTCAATTCTCATTTTCATTTAAATTTTAGAAGTTGCTTTTAGCCGAGAACGTCATAAATGTATTCCAAATATTTCACAATCTTTAGATTTTATCATTTCCACATGTGTATACATTGACACGTGGATTCGAACGTTTCCTATTAAAGGATGAAACTACAGTAAGCGGTAGTCGCTTACTTATATTCTCATCAAATACACAGCTGAATGATTTATTTAAATCATTTTATGTTTTCTGGGATGGTACATTTTCTACAGTACCATTGATCTTTAATCAGCTTTATACTTTTCATGGATATAGAAATAATGAAGGTGCCGAAGGGTACACTATCAATTGTAGATAAATAAACTCATGTACCGATTTATCTGTTTAGTATATCCATGTGCTTTTACGTTGCTTGGTGACAAGAAAACGTCCACTTACATACAGATGATAGAAGATTTGAAGACAACAACCATCTCAATGGGAACTAAATTTGAACCACTTATACTTATGTCAGATTTTGAAAAATCGTGAATTAAGGCAGTTAAACGTCAGGCATGCATTTTATCTTTATGAAATTCGAGTTTATGCTTAAGTTGCATATAAAATCGTAGTTAACTCTTCATTTTTTTCATATAGTTACCAACAACTGAACATAAAGGATGTTTTTTTCACTATAACCAGAGTCTTCATCGACGTCTGGCTAGTGAAGGATTAGCAGTAGCATATAGTGATGGAGAAAAAGTACGTAATTGGTCAAAATATATTATGGCTCTTGCACTACTACCACCTAATGAAACTGAAAATGCTTTGCAACTGATCAAGTTAGGTGCCCCCAAAAGAATGAAAAAATTTGTACAGTATGTCCAAGATTTTTGGTTCAACAAAATGGGAGTAAACATGTGGAATGTGTACGATCTAAAATTGGGTGTGAGTGGGTGTGGGTGTGGGT